CTACTGGCCAACACAGGGAGCATATGCTGGGTGTAGAATTGTTCCAGGAGGAGGAGATTTCCATGCCATGCAGGGTCTTTGGGGATGGGGATGATGATCGCCTCCTTCGTGGTCCACACAACAAAGTAGCAGAGACTCCGGTCTGTGATGTGCAGCTGCCCTTGGAACTGGTGCCAGTATGGGTGATTCTCCTTGAGAATATATGACCCACCCTCCGCACGGAGACAGAAGGATGGTAACTGGACTCCCTCCGCGATGGTCATGTTCCTCTGGCTGTGTGGACACTTCACCTACAGCAGGGCAGATGGCTGCACAAGTCCATCGGGTGATGCTCCCAAAACACCCGACTCACTCACCAAGAGACCAGACTCGAACACTGTCACCCGATAGGCCTGCACAAAAGCCTTCACCCCTTCGGCCTCGTTTACAACCCCCCAGTTGACAGTTGGCGATGTCTCTGGCCAGTGGGTTGTATGTCTCCTCTCGCTGTTGGTAAAGTTGAGACACCGGCTGGACTACTTTGGAAGTGCCAGGCTTCCTCCACTGGCACTCAACATCTGTGGAGCTGATCAGCCACATGGCAAATATTGCCAATGCTGCAGCGTGGCTGCATTTGTACATCTCCTGTGCACAATCACAGACAGCGCTCTGCATCGCGCCATCATCTCCCACTCAGATCTGTACAAATAAAGTAAGTACCATTTGTTAGCATGCTATAATAGATTGAATGAGCAATAATACAAGGATGGTCCGGATCTGGGGGTGGGAGGGTTTATTTTTCCATAGTTTTGTCCTCTTGTCTGTTGTTATTGTTTGTTTTTTCTGTATTTTTTGTAATTTGTGTTGTATTTGTTGTGATTGTACATTGTATTTTTCTAAATGTGCATGAATACATTTTTGAAAAACATTTGATCAACAATAAAAAAGGATTTGGTCAGGATCTAGACTCAGTGTGTAGTTTATTAATTAATCAATGCTCTCTACATTAGGAAAACACATACCAGTGTACCAGAGGGAGTCACACACAGCTGTGCCTAGATAACCAAAATCCTTGAATCTACACACAGCAAATAAAGTCAAATGACACAACGAGAAAAAGGAGATCACACATACAGCGCACATACGGGTACTTCTCAGGCATGCTGGGTAATCTGTGACGTTTCACTCTCTCAAAAGTTGGGCCATTTTATCATCATGCGCTCATGAGCAGCTCTCATAGGAATGAATGAGGCCCCGCCTCCCACGCTGTATCCAGTTCTTATTATACATCCATGGTAGTGACAGGCTCTGCCCATGGATGTATAATAAGAACTGGATACAGCGTGGGAGGCGGGGCCTCATTCATTCCTATGAGAGTTGCTCAATGGCGCATGATGACAAAATGGCCCAACTTTTGAGAGAGCGAAACGTCACAGATTACCCGGCATGCCTGAGAAGTACCCGTATGTGCACTCATAGAGCATGCGCAACTTTAACCACGCCGCCCAAAAGGCTCGTTCACATTAAGCATGTGCAATTGCGTACACGTAACAGCACCGCACGTTCATGGCAGCATGGTACTGGATTTATATTAACGAGGCGGCAGTTAGCAGCTAGCGGCTAGCAAGTAAATTATGCTAAGTTACACATCAATCGTTATGTACTTTTATATTACGCTGACATCAGGATCTAGTGAAAGTAGTCAGAGTTGTAGCGGACCTGCAGGTTTCTGGGAGTTTGTTCCAGATATTTGGAGCATAATAACTGAACGCTGCTTTACCATGTTTAGTTCTGACTCTGGGGACAGAAAGCTGACCAGTCCCTGAAGACCTGAGAGATCTGGATGGTTCATAATTTAGCAGGAGGTCAGAAATGTATTTTGGGCCTAAACCATTCAGTGCTTTATAAACCAGCAGCAGTATTTTGAAATCTATTCTTTGACACACAGGAAGCCAGTGTAAAGACTTCAGAACTGGAGTGATGTGATCCACTTTCTTAGTGTTAGTGAGGACTCGAGCAGCAGCGTTCTGAATTAGCTGCAGCTTCCTAATAGATTTTTTAGTGTGACCTGTGAAGACACCATTGCAGTAGTCGAGTCTACTGAAGATAAAAGCATGGACAAGTTTTTCCAAATCCTGCTGTGACATTAGTCTTTTAATCCTAGATATATTCTTTAGGTGATAGTAGGCTGATTTAGTAACAGTTTTAATGTGACTGTTGAAACTCAGGTCAGAGTCCATGACTACACCTAGATTTCTGGCTGTATCTGTTGTTTTGAACATTGCACACTGAAGCTCAGCGCTAACTTTTATACGTTCTGCCTTGGCTCCAAAAACCATTACCTCAGTTTTATCTTTGTTTAATTGGAGAAAGTTCTGACACATCCAGTCATTGATTGGTTCAATGCACTTACTCAGTGTTTGAATTGGAGCATAGTCTCCTGGTGAAATTTTTACGTAAATTTGTGTGTCATCTGCATAGCTATGGTAACTTATTTTGTTGTTCTTCATTATCTGAGCCAGTGGTAGCATGTAGATGTTAAAGAGAAGAGGCCCCAAGATGGAGCCTTGAGGAACCCCACATGTCATATTTGTCAACTCAGATGTGTATTTACCTATAGAAACAAAGTTGTTTCTGTCCTTTAAGTAGGATTCAAACCAATTTAGAACTGTTTCCGAAAGTCCCACCCAGTTTTCCAGTCGGTCTAGTAATATGCTGTGGTCAACAGTGTCAAACGCAGCACTGAGATCTAATAATACTAACACTGAAGTTCTGCCACTGTCTGTGTTTAAGTGGATGTCATTAAAGACCTTTACAAGAGCAGTCTCAGTGCTGTGGTTTGGACGAAAGCCTGACTGGAACACATCAAAACAGTTATTTAAAGGAAAGAAATTACTCAACTGTTGAAAAACAACTTTTTCAATGATTTTACCTAGAAATGGCAGGTTTGATATGGGCCTGTAATTGTTCATTACTGAAGCATCTAGATTATTCTTTTTTAAGAGCGGTTTAATGACTGCAGTTTTCAGGGCCTGTGGAAAAATACCTGAGTGAAGAGATTTGTTTACTATATGAAGTAGATCTGAGGCCATGCAACGAAAAATATCTTTGAAAAATCCTGTTGGAATAATATCAAGGCAGCAAGAGGAGGATTTCAGAAGTTGAATAATGTCCTCTAGGTTTTTATCATTAATCTGATGGAATTGTGTCATGATGTCTGAATTGATGTTAAGTGGAGATAGGGACAACACATTTGCTGTTCCTGATGCAGAGGCACTGACTGCTTGTCTGATTTTCTGAATTTTGTCAGTGAAAAAGGAGGCAAAATCATTGCACGCTCTGGTGGATAGAAATTCAGAGGCTACTGACACTGGGGGGTTAGTTAGTCTGTTGACGGTAGCAAACAAGGCACGTGCGTTGTTTTTGTTTTTGGTAATGATGTCAGAGAAGAACGATTGTCGTGCGTTTTTCAATTCCAAATTATAAAGGCCAAGTCTCTCTTTATAGATTTCAAAGTGAACCTGGAGATTTGTTTTTCGCCACCTGCGTTCAGCTTTTCGACATTCTCTTTTTTCTGTTTTCACGGTCATGGCCTTTCTCCATGGAGATATTTTCTTGCCAGACACTTCCTTTACCTTAGTTGGAGCAATGGCATCTATAACATTTTATAGAGGGACTTATATTTGCCCCATGCCTTCAGCAGCAGCAGGCCATTCACTTTGATTTGATCCAGTTATGAAATGTCATCATTTTGACAATAAAGAAATGCTACATAAACGTTATCTTGCACGTTTTATCGAACCATCTCCGTTTCTAACTTTCAATATATTTAAAAAGAGATCTCTCTCTCATCTGCGTGCGGGGGCGGGGCCTCACAGACATGCTGCTGCGCTGTGCACACAGTTCTGCCGGTAATGAATATTAGGATACATTTTGTGAGGAAACTTTTCCACCAATAATTCCAATAAGTATTCAAAAATGTATTCACTTCAGGTTTACGAAAGTAACTGTATTCGGATTAGTTGTTTTTCAAATGTAACGCGAGCTGAATACAGTTAGGCTACTTGGTTTTTGTATTCTGATTACGTAACGCCATTACATGTATTCAGTTACAACCCAACCCTGTGTACAGATCATCAGTCCTGTGTACAGATCAGTTCGATAAAGTCATGCCAAAACAGCGACATTTTACACGATAAATACGGGTTTAAATAGCAGCATTTGCCACGGAAGGCGAGTGGCAGCTACCGTAAACTTTCACTTACTCTGGCATCTTGTGGCAACTCCCGTTGAGCAGCGGCAGATGCCTCGGCAAGTTGTGGCATCTGTGGCATATGCCGGAAGTACTTGCCACAGCTACCACAGAGTAGCGGCCTCTGTGGCATATGCCGGAAGTACTTGCCACAGCTACCACAGAGTAGCGGCCTCTGTGGCATATGCCGGAAGTACTTGCCACAGCTACCACAGAGTAGTGGCCTCTGTGGCATATGCCGGAAGGACTTGCCACTGCCTGCAGATGCCACGAAATGAGCCAGGCCCTACTGAAAATTATGGTATGTAGATACCTAAATAGGTAACATTTTAAAGTTTTAAATGTTAACAGGTGCCCTTCTCATTGACCATGCATCTTGGAAAGAAGCTTCTTCATCTGACACCGATGCAGCTCTCAGGTAAAAAAAAACATGAATCAAAGTTACATTTACAATTCTTTCAGGTTTAATAAAAAAACAAATACAACACCATTTCTATTTCCCTTCCTCAGATGGTGTGAACAGGACTTGTGTCCTGTGTCGACTCAGCAGGCGAGAGGCTGCTATGATCCCAGCACGGCACCACTGCACTAGTGTATGACCGGCCGACACAAGGCTGAACGTTCACTGATCAGTGGCGAGCCGTCAGGGCCCTCTAGGCCCTCTCTGAGGGCCTAAGATATTCTAAAAAATAATATTTAAAAACATTTTTAAAATATATATTTTTTTTTTAATATATATTTTTTAAATATTATTTTTGTTATATTTTTACCGAAAAAACTTGATTTAATTGTATTTAAAATAAAATTTCCAAAGAAATAAATCCTTCGAATCTGCCTGTTCAGTTTCTGTTTGAATGTGAAGGGTTACATGAAAAAAGCTCGTCTGGCCCTCTATGCGATTCACAGAGGGCCCGCTATAGTAAAACAACGAGAGAGTAATGTCAAGTGACAGTACAATTGACCAATCATATCTTCCCTCTAAATGGGAGGGCTTTATTATCGCGGACTTTATGACAAGTTCCGCCCGCTGCGCTGCCAAGTTTATGCATGTGATATATCAACGGGTCAAGCTAGGCGGAATTAGCATACGTTCATTCACGATGGCTCACGTTAGTGATAGTGATGACATCGTTGCGAAACTACTAACCGAGTCTTTTTCAAGAATGAGTTACACGGATAAATTGGAGTTAATTACCAAAGGGCGACCAACACCACAGCTTAATTTGGTTCAAAAAACCAAACGGTTCGAGAGGCATTTTAATATCGGCAATTACGCCAGATACAACTGGATGACCGGATCAACCAGGGAACACAAGCTGTACTGCTGGGATTGCTTGCTTTTTGGAGCGGACAGTGGGTCATGGGCCAGAGATGGATATTCTGATTTAGGAAGTTTATCCAAATTAGCACATCGCCATCAGAATGCTTCAGGTCACCTCAGAGCTACTATTCGGCTTAAAACATTTGGGGACACCAGGATAGAGCTCCAGCTGGATGAGCAACAACGCCGGGGTGTCATCCTTCATAATGAAAAGGTGAAGAGGAACCGAGGAATTTTGAAACGCCTGATAAATTGTGTGGTGTACTTGGGCAAGCAGGAGTTGCCGTTCCGAGGTCACGATGAGAGTGTAACTTCATCAAACAAGGGGAATTACATAGAGTTGCTGGATTTAGTGGCAGAATATGACAGCGACCTGCACACACACCTCGCCACATCAACAGTATTTACCGGCACATCTTCAAGGATTCAGAATGACCTGATCAGCGCTGTCGCTAGTGTAATGACGGATAGCATGAAAGAGGAGCTGAGGAAGGCACCTTTTGTTGCGGTCATGTTGGATGAAACGACAGACATTAGCAACGTGGCGCAGATGTCATATGTGCTTCGATATGTCACTGACGATGGGATAAAAGAGCGTTTCTTCAAGTACGAAGATGTGACAGAGGACAAACGAGCAGAGGCCATAGCTACACGGCTGCTGGAGTTCCTGAGGGAGAGTGGCTGTATTGACAAAGTGGTCGCGCAGTGCTACGATGGAGCAGCTGTTATGGCCTCTGGATTGAATGGGGTGCAAGCGAAAGTTAAGGAAACAATTCCACAGGCCCTTTTCATTCACTGCTATGCTCACATCTTAAATCTCGTTTTGTCAAATGGAGCTTCCAAGATAAGAGAGTGTAAGGTCTTCTTCTCCCACCTCTCTGGCTTGGCCACCTTTTTCAGCCGCTCAGCAAAGCGCACCAAGCTACTGGATGATATTTGCCAGCATAGGCTTCCACGGGCAGCTCCTACTCGCTGGTGCTTTCATTCTTGCTTGGTGTGCACAGTGGCAGATAAGACCAGGGAATTGAGAGAGGTAAGATAATAATAACAATGAACGTAATGGAAATATTAACAATAATAAATAAATGATTTAGTGTTGGAAACTACCCACTCATAAAAACATGAAGGTAAAGAACTATGCTAGTATTACATTCAATGGAAAGCTAATCTTAGTGTTTACTGGAGGTCTATAAGTTGTTTTTTCTAAACTAAGCATTACTCTCGTCTCGTAGGTGTTCGAGCACATCGTAGACCATCACACAGAGTTTGATGACGAAACTGTTCATTGCTCTGATGGATACATCACCCTCCTTACCAGCTTCGATTTCAGCTTTTGGTTGAAAACCTTCCACGCTATCTTCTCCTACTCGGATGTTGTTTTTGAAATACTTCAGAACAAAGGTTTTGATATGCAGTTCTGCCTGGCCAGAGTGGATCAGCTACAGCGACAAATTGAACAGGAGAAGGGGAACTTTGACAGCGTCTACGATGAAACCCAGGCTTTGGTTGGTCCTCCGCGCGGCCGTGGAGCTCAAGGAGACGTTCGTGCATGTACAGGGAGCTCCACTGCAGCGTAATTGACAGCCTGCTAACCCAGATTTCCAACCGCTTCAGTGACCACAAAAAGCTGGAATTCCTGGCCCTTCTGGACCCGCAACAGTTCGGGCATTACTGTAACTATTTCCCAACTGCTGCCTTGAACAGTTTGATGGAGAGCTATGGCGGATATTTCGACCAGCCTCGACTGCACACGGAACTCGCCGTGATGTACGGCATGTCTGACATTTTGGGGAAAAGCCCAGCCGACATTCATCAGTTTCTCCTCAAAAAAGGACTGAGTGAAAGCATGAAACAGGTGTACACCCTCTCATCCATCATCCTGACAATACCTGTGTCCACTGCCTCTGTGGAGAGGTCCTTCTCTGCGCTGAAGCGCATAAAAAGCTACTCGAGGTCCACGACTGGGCAAGTCCGACTGTCAGACTTGGCCTTAATTTCGATCGAGAAGGAATTGCTGATTGCTTTAAAAGCAAAGGATCACCTGCATGACGACGCCATCAAGTTCTTCATCCAAAAAGACAGGAGGATGGACTTTGTGTTTAGGTGATTTGATCATCAAAGGTAAGTCAAAGTGATTTTCAATGTGGGCCGCCGTGCCGACTTAATTCATTTGTAATTGTTACTTGGCTGTGGGTGCCCTGTCATGATAGGTGTTTATATAAATGGTGTTGTTTTGTGTGGTAGAGGGTCGCTGTCATTGATGCGTTTTGCACCCCGGGCCGCTGTTTTGATATTCCGCTGAAGTATACTATAGGCTGTGACGTAAAAACTTTTTCTTTTTTTTTTCGAGGGAAGAGGGGGGTGGGGTCAGAGGGCCTAGGTAGAAAAGTCACGGCTCGCCACTGTCACTGATAATGGATAAACTCACTCTGATTAATTAGTAATTGACTGTATCCCAGATTGATTGTATTTTGTAGCTGATTTAGAACATGTTTTTTCTAAAAACCTGTTCTGTACAGCAGCACGGCAATCAAACAGTAAATTGAGTTTCTAATGCCATATGATCCTTTGTAATGGGATTTGGGTATTTTCGATATTTACTGTTTAGTATCTGAAATATATATTTTTTGCTTGTAATAAATGTGAAATATAAATGTACAACATTTGCAGTTTCCACATTTTTTGGAGGTCTGGATGCTATGTAATTGTGAAGTGGATGAGTTGAACATGACCCTGGGCTTTTCACCATCACATTCAAGAACTCTGTTTAAACCACAATCCCTGTCTGCTTGCATAACTTCCTGCTGTTAATGCACTCAGTGTATCAGTTATTCTGAAGTGTTATTGTTATGCATTGAGCTCAATATGAAATATCCATAACATATGCCATTAGTCATCAGTTTACTAAATGGTAAAAAATGGGTCCCTTATGAAAAAAGGTTGAAACACCGAACTGGAGCACGGGTCAGAAGCGTCAGAGCAGGAGGGAGTTTAAGTTCAACAAACATGCTGCTTTCAAAGTGTTGGAAAAATTGCAAGTGTGATCTCCAGAACGATGATAAATATGTTCACTTTGTAGTTTTGAACAATTAAATACATCAGGCAACTATTTTAAATAGTACAAAAGTCAATTATCTGTACTGTACTGTATCATTGTGTTTCATTTTGCCAAACTCTAAAAAAGGTGCATAAGCAATGCCTACAATTAATGTAGGGCAGGAAACGTATTTTTGGAAATACAAAAATAAAGGTCCCGTTAAACATATACTCTCGATGAATAATGTATTTTAATTGTATTTTGAATGTTATCTTTTTAGAATACATTTTTTATGTATTGCAATATTGATCCAAGATTCAAAGGCTTTATTGTCATGCAAAGTAGCTACAGTGTAGATATGGCAATGGAAATATAAAGTCCGAGGCACCTCCACAATGCAACATAATATATTATAGACATTACATTTATTTTACGAATTTAAAAAACATAAAATAGTGCAAGAAAAAAGAGTAGAATAAAATAGTGCAAGATTATTTTTGTAAGACCAATGAGCAAGTAATGCAGAGGAATTAAACCTTATACCTGTCCAAAATACAATGGGCTAAAATTGTAAGTGAACAAGTAAATGCAGGAGTCTATATACATGTAAATGGAATAAGATAAACAAGAACATAATGTAGAATGAAATACGAGTTCTGACTTTACGAGCAGTCCTTGAAGGCGCCACACGTCTGGCTGGAAAAACAGTGGGTGGGGTTAGAGCTGTTTTCACAGACTGTGCACTGTACACAGTGTACGCGGACATTGAATCTGAGCGGATAATCTCTGTAAGAGACTTTAATAAAAAAAACTACAGAATAATCGACGTGTGGATAAAACAGAAGCCGTTTTATTTTACCAGTTATTATTTAAACTTTAAAGGTTGTAAGAGCAACACAACCCAGCACAGTCCTCTCCACCAGAATGGACGCGACTCCTGGGTAAAGTGAATGATGTCTCGCTCTGTTTACCTGTCACTCCTGCTGCTCGTGATATCGGATCATCAACAGGTGACCTCGCTCTCCCATGTCCCCCGGAACCAGCGTGGAGTCGGATCAGCCGTGCGGGCTTTAAACACCACACTAACCATGATGTACCAAAGCAACAACGATGAGGTCGGTGGGGTCGACCTAATGATCTTTTTATTTGATTCAAGAAAATATGTGTATATCAAACATGATATCAAATCAAAGTCTATTTATACAGCCCAATATCACAACACACCTTTGTCTCAGTGGGTTTCACAGATTAACAAACATATAGCTGACCGTGATAAGAGATAAATAAAATGACAAGAAAATATTAAAAAGACAAGATAGAAAAATAGATATAACACGTTACTTGTTAGACGCTTTTATCCAAAGTGACTTACATACTCAATACTGTGGACAATCCCCACAGGAGCAATTTGGGGGGAAGTGTCTTGCCCAGGGACACAACTGACTGCAGTGGGGTTTGAACCTGTGCCCCCCTGATCTGAACACCAATGCACTAGGCCAATGCGCCACACGTGTTAAATACATTAAAGGATATAAAGGAAATCGGGATTAAAAACAAATTTAGTTTTGATTGCCTGCCTTTTTTAAATATCTTTAATAGTGGCGCCATTGTAAGTTAAACTGTGCAATATTTGGTTCAGTGCCAGTCCATTTCTTCTTGTGAATGTGACTACCCAAGATGATCAGGTTTTACTGCCAGTACCAATTGTAACAGCATAGTTTGATTGAAGCGTACAGGTTGTCACATGATCAGTAGCAGACAGCATATAGAAACATCTTTCTACACACTACCTGGCACCCATAACACTTTGTTAGGAACAGTTATATAATCTTATGAAACCCGCAACAACATCTTGTCTCATATCCAACAAGAAGCTTTGGCCGGTTTCCAAAAGGTTTCCAAAAGGTCATTAACTCCATGTTTAATAATGAGGTTGTAGTTAGTGGTGGTGTTGTATTGATCTCTTAAGTATTGTTAATGTGTTCTCATTATTATTCTTATATTCTTCTTTATCATGTTTGTAAATGTCACCTTTCTATATAATATCTCTGGGTATTATTAGGCCCTGGATGTAGCTGGGCTGCTTGTTCTTTATATCATTATTTCATTTCTATACATATTCTTTGCAACAATGCAATGAAGTTCCTTTTTTTTCAAGCGGTTCATTTGCTGGAACATTATCTATGTCCTCCTTAGTGCTTGGTCTCAGTTGATATTATTCTTACGTACTTTTTACGTTTGATCAAATCACAGCAACGGGATGGTCTCTTTTTTCTCTTGGCAAAACATTGCAAAGCTGCCAAATGTAGTGTCTAGTGTGTATTGTACTTGATGCTTAACACAGCAATATCAATTATTATAAAACATTATTCTTGTGATGTCTTTCACAATACTTGGAATTTTGGAAGTATTTATTATCATATTTATTAAGCCCTATAATGATGGGAGATGGCGGCTGTATAATTGTAGTCATTTAGACCTCTAAGTAGGCCTAGGTGAACTGATGTGTCTTTCTCTGTGTGTGTACAGTGTGACCTTGTGATGAACGTCAGTGCTGCAGACCGCTGTGCGTTTGTGAAGAACACTCCAGACTGCAACTTGGAAGATGGCTTCCTCAACTACCTTAATCTGGCCTTCTGTCTGCTTCCTCCAAACCTCACACCCCTCACCATCACTCTCTGTGTAAGATGTGTGTGTGTGTGTGTGTGTGTGTGTGTGTGTGTGTGTGTGTGTGTGTGTGTGTGTGTGTGTGTGTGTGTGTGTGTGTGTGTGTGTGTGTGTGTGTGTGTGTGTGTGTGTGTGTGTGTGTGTGTGTGTGTGTGTGTGTGTGTGTGTGTGTGTGTGTGTGTGTGTGTGTGTGGTGTGTGTGTGTGTGTGTGTGTGTGTGTGTGTGTGTGTGTGAGTGAGAGTGTGGTCAGCGTGAAACTGCAGCTCAGCTCAGTTTTGAGGAAGATGACTTTGCTAGGAGGACTAGGAATGATCACACCTCTGTTTTACGACACTCAGGGTGTTTCTCAATGTCGAGTACGCTTGCTTGGTAGCACATGTCTTCCGAGTCACTTGCTTCAGAAGCGAGGCAAGTATACTTCCTGGCATTCGGAAAACGAAGAGTGGAACAGGCGAGGAAGTGTGCAGGTGTGCGTCATATGAGAGGCCCCGCCTTACATTTTCCGCCACAGATTTGGGGAAATTGGTCCGTGCGCAAAGCATTGTGGGGATTTTAAGACCGCAGACATGTGCAGCCTCGACATTTCCCGCTAAATACGCCGGGCTCGGTAGAATTCCAAGTATGCTGGACATTGGAACATTGCTTGAAATAGTGGCTCTGGAGCAGCTTTACTCGACATTGAGAAACAACCCCAGTCATTTCACTTTCTGCTCAACTTGGGAACTTCCTGAATTGCATTTTTTTCTGCATGACAAACTGTCACACTGATAAATCAGTAAGCATATTTGGGGGGGGGGGGGGGATTACGAGGGAGATATCACAAAATCTACCAAGGATATTCTATATAATATATAAAACATCCATGTTTCAGA